TGAGACTTTCTCCGCTGTGAGGTGAGCGGCGGCGCTCGTTCAGAAGACTTTGACTCTTTTTCTCCACGGCGGGATGACGAGTCGGTTTGGGTTGATGCTGGTCGATCTGGGTGTCGCTCGTTGTCGCTCGGTGTCGCACGGTGGCGCACGGTGGCGCACGTTCAGCGCAAAGTGGTGCACGGTGGCGCACGGTGGCGCAAGGTGGCGCAAGTTGGCGCTCGTTCAGCGATCTCCGCCTTTCCTGCGGGTTGTTCGCTGGTCGTCACTCTGACGAGGAGCGATGCTTCGTTCGTGGCAGGGTGGACGTTGGCGTCTTTGTTGGCTTCACTCGCAGCTCTGCGACTCAGGGTAGCGATTCTTCTCAGGTGGTGCAGACCTCGGCTTGTAGCTACGCGTCGCTACTCCGCGACCCTCGTCATTCTCAATGATGAAAACTTCTTGACGATCTGTGGTGGAGCCGAAGATGGGCTCGTGGCCCGGATGATCTCTGGTGGAGCTCGTGGCCCGGACGATCTCTGTGATGGGGGCCAGAGCCCCTGACGATCTGTGATGGAGGCCAGAGCCCCTGTCGATCTGTGATGGAGGCCAGAGCCCCTGTCGATCTGTGATGGAGGCCAGAGCCCCTGTCGATCTGTGATGGAGGCCAGAGCCCCTGTCGATCTGTGATGGAGGCCAGAGCCCCTGTCGATCTGAGTTGTATGGATTTTCCTTCGGTTTATATCGGAAACTTCCACTCGGCTTCCCGAGTTGTTCAAAGGCTGTGTCATAAAACCTTCCTGTGGGCTGAACCATCTGCGTCCGTGTGTGTGTCCGTCCGTGTGTTTCGCGTGCGTGTTTGTCCGTGTTGTGGGGAGACAAAGGCGGTTGTTTCCACGGTGGGAGCACCCGGCGCATGCGCTTATTTATTCGAAGACGTGTTTATTTCCTTTGAGCCATTGCCCCCTTTATGGGTGTCATTTCCTAGCTTGGTGCCTGTGTGTGGAGATCCTCTCGGAAAGACAAAGGCGGCCGTGTTGCTCGCTTCCCATGGGTGTTGTGTTTGGTTAATTTTGAGAGCCTTCTCCGCCCTTGATTCCTCTTCTACTTTAATTCCGTACTTATTATTTGACTTCTTGTGATTATTTAATCTGATATCCCGGCTTATCTTTGTTCAGAATATAATTATCTCTTCCTCCGTGTCTCCTGGTTCTGCAACCCCCCGCCTGCAATTCCCCCCCTCCCTTGTTCCTCTTGTGTGAATTTAGGGGAGTTTTTTTTTTTTATTACCTTATTGCCCCCCCTGTCATGTCCTCTTTCCTTTGAAATGAGGTATGCGCGCATCTGTGGAAGTGTGGGGGCCTCTGTGGAAGTGTGGGGGCGTGTTCGTTCCCACGTGGCCCCGTGTCTATTAAAAAAACAATATTATATATGATGGCAGAATAAGCCTTAAAAAAAAAATAATATTAAAAAAAAAATAAAAAGGGGGTACATACACAACACTGGTTAAACCCAGGATGGATCGTAGGCAGGCCAGCATAGAGAAGGAAGGCAATGACTGTGGCCGAGAAGACCTGAAGCTTCGTGCGGAGCGACAGACCATGTAGCTTCCACACAGCGTTACGCAACCGATGAAAAGATAATGCCGCTCGACTGATTCGGAGTAAGACCTCTGATGTTAAACCGGAGCCGGTCATGAGCACACTGCCCAGGTATGGGAAACTCTCCACTCTCTCCACAACTGCCCTATCACCAATTGGGAGTTGTGGGGGTGGAGTGTCCGATGGTGCAAAATACCCAGGCAGGTGCTAAGTTTTGGTGGGGCTGATGGTTAGGCCCCACCTTTTAGTGGCAAGCTCCAGGTTCAGCAGCAGTGCCTCCAACTCCTCCTCTGAGTGAGCAGCAATTACCAGATCATCGGCATTACATAACATGGTTGAGCAATAGGGAGCCATCTCTTGACCGCACCCGGGCATCGATCAGCCTCCCATTGTATCTGTACCAGATGGAAATTCCTCCGGTACAGCTATTGAAGGCTTCATGAACTATGTGGTCGAAATAAATGTTAAATAATGTGGGAGCCAGAGGACATCCCTGTCGCACCCCAAGGTGTACAGGGAATGGCTCTGACTCCCGGCCACTTAGTCTTACCCGGGCCCGCTCACCATAATGAAGGTCCTTAATGATCATGAGCGGAGGGTCAGGGACTCCGAAAGCATGAAGAACAACCCAGAGCCCAGGCCTACTGATGGTATCATAGGCCTTGACCAGCAGATGGACAAAAAATATGGCATCTGTGCAGGACCGCCCTTTCCTGAAACCGCATTGGGGCTCCGCAAGCCTCTCCTCAGCGTGCCTAGCAAGGCGATGTTGAATAATCCTTGCCAGGACCTTTTCTGGCACACTGAGGAGTGAAATGCCCCTGTAGTTGTTACAGTCTGTGCGGTCCCCCTTCTTAAAGAGGGGGACCACCAGGGCATCCTTCCAATCCTGCGGAACCGATCCAGTGGTCCAGACTGTTGTTATGATGTCATGTAGGGCAGTCTTTGCACAAACGCCACCCTCCCTCAGCATTTCGTTGGGGAGATCATCTCTGCCCGGTGCCTTTCCTGGTCTCAGACTCCGGATCGCCTTCAGTACTTCCTCCACAGATGGCACCTCAGCCAGCCTCTCACAGGGGGTGACTTCTTCCAATATCTGAGGCACCGCAGCCTCAGCAGGGTTATCCCCACTTTGTACCATGAGGTATTCCAGGCTGAGGGATTTCCCCTCCCCCAGGACCTCACAGAAATGCTCAGCAAATCTGCAAACCTGTTCCGGGGGGTCGGAGATTGGATCACCGTTCTTTCCCCTAATGATGGTAATAGGTGTGGCGCTGCAGGTTACTTTTTTATCGAATTAAAGAGCGATTTGTGATGGCGTGCCATTGAGGCAGACTCCATCTCCTCAGCAACCCGCGACCACCACCCATCCTTGCAGCACCTCACGGCTCTCCGAACCTCCGAGCGAAGGCTGCGGTAAGCCTCCTCAATCTCCGACGTGGGATGCTGTAGCCAATGAGAGTGGGCCTGTCGCTTTTTCTCAGCCAGCTTGAACACCTCTGTTAGCCAGGGTCTCTGGGGAGGTCTGGACCGCGTACCCAAAGTAGCCATTGCAGCTGCATGAGCCACAGTCCTAAACCTCGCCCATTTCCCCTCGACATCAGGAGGAGTGGGGGACGATGCCAACCCCAGCCGCAAGCGATGATGAAACTCTCGCTTGCAACTTTCATCAGCTAGTTGAGACCATGTCACTAAGGGTTTGAAAGGGGTCCTGGGTGTACACCCACCACTGGAGTGGAAGAATGGCAGGCGCATCTTACAGATGACAAGTCGATGGTCAGTGGGCAGATCAGCTCCACGGTAGGTCCTGGTGTCAAGGACATGGGCCCGCATCTGCTGTTCCATCACTATGTAGTCCAGCAGATGTTCTTGATTGGGCCCGGCATGCATCCATTATGTTGTGTGGATGCGCCGATGCCGGAACAGCGTGTTGGTAATTACAAGCCCATGGGTTGCACAAAAATCTAGCAGCCTCCTGCCGTTGTCATTGAGCTGATCTGGCCCATGCCTTCCAATCACTCCAGACCAGGTGCCAGCATCATGACCAACTCGGGCATTAAAGTCACTCAACAAGATGACTCTATCCCAACGGGCCACTTTAGCTAGCACCTGTGACAGGAGGTCATAGAAGGCATCCGACTCATCGGCCTTGCCTGCATCCCTCCATGGATGTTTGTCTTCAGTGGGGACATAAGTAACCACGACCACCACTCCTCGCCTCTGGTTGATGGGAAGGCGAGCCCAAAGTAGCATAGGGCTTACAGCTTCCCACACATCACCGCCACGCTCCCACGCCCCCCTCATTCTTTTGTTCAGTCTCCTGCCCCGAATAGAGGATTGTCCACCCCTCATGGTGGCAGGAGCCAGAGCCGGTCCACCGGACCTTCTGAATACCACAGAGATCCAGGCGGTACCGTTCCAGCTCCCGACAGAGGAGTGGCAGCCTCTCCTCCGCAGTAAGCGTTCGAACATTCCACGTGGCCACAAGCACATGCACACTGTACACTCACATACAGTACACACACACACAGTACACACACACGGTACACTACACACAGTACACACACACGGTACACTACACACAGTACACACACAGTACACACACACAGTACACACACACAGTACACACACAGTACACACACACACAGTACACACACAGTACACACACACACAGTACACACACACGGTACACTACACACAGTACACACACACAGTACACACACACAGTACACACACAGTACACACACAGTACACACACACAGTACACACACATACAGTACACACACACAGTACGCACACACACAGTACACACACACACAATACACACACACACAGTACACACACAGTACACACAGACAGTACACACACAGTACACACACACACGGTACACACACACAGTACACACACACACAATACACACACACACAGTACACACACAGTACACACAGACGGTACACACACAGTACACACACACACACACACAATACACACACACAGTACACACAGTACACACACACAGTACACACACACGGTACACACACACAGTACACACAGTACACACACACAGCACACACAGTACACACACACAGTACACACACAGTACACACACAGTACACACACACACAGTACACACACACAGTACATACACACACAGGACACACACAGTACACACACACAGTACACACACAGTACACACACAGGACACACATCGATGGGGGAGGGGGGGGGCGTTTCTCCATCGATGCTGGGAATTCCTCCCCCATCGATGATTCCTCCCCCCATCGATGGGGCGGGGAGGGGAGGCCTTAATCCAGCAGTGGATCGAGCGTGACTGTTGACGATGACCATGGTTGGGGTGATGATGATGACGATGATGATCACGACAATCCCTGATTGCCCGTGCGTCTCTGTTGCTCGTTTCAGGACGTGGCGCACAAAGCCGACTCCAATTCAAAGTCTCCAGCTCATGCCGGCACTACAGGTGAGCCCTGAACTCACTCACTGCTGCTGCTGTGTTCACTCACTAGTACTGTGTTCATTCGCTGCCGTGTGTTCACTCGTGCCCACCGTGGCACCAACAACACCCCTCAGCAAATCACTTGTTGAGCGACGTTCACCGCGAGTTGCTCCCCACACACACGCGCTTCCAGGCACCGGTGACCAGAGGTGGGACAAAGTCATTGTTATGCAAGTCCAAGTCGAGTCTGAAGTCATCAAATTCATGACTCGAGTCTGACTCGAGTCCAAGTCACATGACTCGAGTCCACACCTCTGAGGTGGGACAAAGTCATTGTTATGCAAGTCCAAGTCGAGTCTGAAGTCATCAAATTCATGACTCGAGTCTGACTCGAGTCCAAGTCACATGACTCGAGTCCACACCTCTGCCGGTGACTACTAGTGTATAGTAGTGTATAATGTAGTATACAGCGTAGTGTGCAGCGTAGTTTATGATAGTGTGACATATACCACCAATTATATATTACACCACCCCTGTACATTGTGAAGCATCACCCACACCGAGCCGGCCATCCACACTGCCAATCCACCGCATTCAAATATTGTCTGGGGTTGCCAAACTGGACAGACCGGGCTCTAAAAAAATCAAACGAGGTCCCTTGAATGTTTCGTCAAACGCCCCCGGATTTGCACGGCGTTGTGCAAACTCAGAAAGGGTTCGCAGTGGGGTAGGAGGGGCTGGGTGGGTGGGGTGGGGGGGCTGGGTGGGTGGGGGAGGGGCTGGGTGGGTGCGGGGAGGGGCTGGGTGGGTGGGTGCGGGGAGGGGCTGGGTGGGTGGGGTGGGAGGGGCTGGGTGGGTGGGTGCGGGGAGGGGCTGGGTGGGTGGGGTGGGAGGGGCTGGGTGGGTGGGTGCGGGGAGGGGCTGGGTGGGTGCGGGGAGGGGCTGGGTGGGTGGGGTGGGGGGAGGGGGTGGGTGGGTGGGGTGGGGGGAGGGGGTGGGTGGGTGGGTGCGGGGCTGGGTGGGTGGGTGGGGGAGGGGCTGGGTGGGTGGGGGGAGGGGGTGGGTGGGTGGGTGCGGGGAGGGGCTGGGTGGGTGGGGGAGGGGCTGGGTGGGTGGGTGCGGGGAGGGGCTGGGTGGGTGGGTGGGGGAGGGGCTGGGTGGGTGGGGGAGGGGCTGGGTGGGTGGGGGAGGGGCTGGGTGGGTGGGGGGAGGGGGTGGGTGGGTGCGGGGAGGGGCTGGGTGGGTGGGGGAGGGGCTGGGTGGGTGGGTGCGGGGAGGGGCTGGGTGGGTGGGGGAGGGGCTGGGTGGGTGGGTGCGGGGCTGGGTGGGTGGGTGCGGGGAGGGGCTGGGTGGGTGCGGGGAGGGGCTGGGTGGGTGCGGGGAGGGGCTGGGTGGATGCGGAGACGGGCTGGGTGGGTGCGGGGAGGGGGTGGGTGGGTGGGTGGGTGGGGGGAGGGGCTGGGTGGATGCGGGGAAGGGCTGTGTTGCCTCCGAAACATCGTGATTTATTATTTTTATTTTATTTCAATTATTACTTTTATTAACTTTTAATTGTATTTTTTGCCTACGTGACTTTACCGAAAAAACCTAAGAGTATGGGGGTGACGCTCCTTGTGCATTGTGGGAACGATGCAATTCACGTGGGCACACACGCGAACACGTGGGCGCACACGAGAACACGTGGGCGCACACGAGAACACGTGGGCGCACACGAGAACACGTGGGCGCACACGAGAACACGTGGGCGCACACGAGAACACGTGGGCGCACACGAGAACACGTGGGCGCACACGCGCACGACGGAATTTACTCGGCATCTCCCCCAACCTCTCTGCACGGGGAGACATGCAACACGTTGCGACATTAAGAAGCAACTCGGAGCTTATGGCACCCAACACGTCCCTTGTCAAATAATGTAACACTGTGTGGCCTTCCAAGGGTAAACACAAATATTTCATAGGCGACGTTTCGGGCAATTACCCTTCTTCTTGGCATAGAGATGTACGTGTGTGTCTTCTGAAGAGTTGTTTAAGTTCCATGAAGAAGGGGCATTGCCTGAAACGTCGCCTTTGTGTGTTGGCGCCATGGTGGCCAGATGTTCACTCCCTCGCCTGGTCTACAGGAGGTCGTGGGTTCGATCCCGACCCTGACGCCTGCTGCTGTATATTTGGAGTTTGCGTGTCTCTCTCATCATCATCACGGTGGCTAGGAGATGTTAACTACCTCGCCTGGTGTACAGGAGGTCGTGGGTTCGATCCCGACCCTGACGCCTGCTATATATTTGGAGTTTGCGTGTCTCTCTCATCATCATCACGGTGGCTAGGAGATGTTAACTACCTCGCCTGGTGTACAGGAGGTCGTGGGTTCGATCCCGACCCTGACGCCTGCTGTATATTTGGAGTTTGCGTGTCTCTCTCTCATCATCATCACGGTGGCTAGGAGATGTTAACTACCTCGCCTGGTGTACAGGAGGTCGTGGGTTCGATCCCGACCCTGACGCCTGCTATATATTTGGAGTTTGCGTGTCTCTCTCATCATCATCACGGTGGCTAGGAGATGTTAACTACCTCGCCTGGTGTACAGGAGGTCGTGGGTTCGATCCCGACCCTGACGCCTGCTGCTGTATATTTGGAGTTTGCGTGTCTCTCTCATCATCATCACGGTGGCTAGGAGATGTTAACTACCTCGCCTAGTGTACAGGAGGTCGTGGGTTCGATTCCGACCCTGACGCCTGCTGTATATTTGGAGTTTGCGTGCCTCTCTCATCATCATCACGGTGGCTAGGAGATGTTAACTACCTCGCCTGGTCTACAGGACGTCGTGGGTTCGATCCCGACCCTGACGCCTGCTGTATATTTGGAGTTTGCGTGTCTCTCTCTCATCATCATCACGGTGGCTAGGAGATGTTAACTACCTCGCCAGGTGTACAGGAGGTCGTGGGTTCGATCCCGACCCTGACGCCTGCTGCTGTATATTTGGAGTTTGCGTGTCTCTCTCATCATCATCACGGTGGCTAGGAGATGTTAACTACCTCGCCTAGTGTACAGGAGGTCGTGGGTTCGATTCCGACCCTGACGCCTGCTGTATATTTGGAGTTTGCGTGTCTCTCTCATCATCATCACGGTGGCTAGGAGATGTTAACTACCTCGCCTGGTCTACAGGACGTCGTGGGTTCGATCCCGACCCTGACGCCTGCTGTATATTTGGAGTTTGCGTGTCTCTCTCTCATCATCATCACGGTGGCTAGGAGATGTTAACTACCTCGCCAGGTGTACAGGAGGTCGTGGGTTCGATCCCGACCCTGACGCCTGCTGTATATTTGGAGTTTGCGTGTCTCTCTCTCATCATCATCACGGTGGCTAGGAGATGTTAACTACCTCGCCAGGTGTACAGGAGGTCGTGGGTTCGATCCCGACCCTGACGCCTGCTGTATATTTGGAGTTTGCGTGTCTCTCTCTCATCATCATCACGGTGGCTAGGAGATGTTAACTACCTCGCCTGGTGTACAGGAGGTCGTGGGTTCGATCCCGACCCTGACGCCTGCTGTATATTTGGAGTTTGCGTGTCTCTCTCTCATCATCATCACGGTGGCTAGGAGATGTTAACTACCTCGCCAGGTGTACAGGAGGTCGTGGGTTCCATCCCGACCCTGACGCCTGCTGCTGCTGTATATTTGGAGTTTGCGTGTCTCTTTCTCCCCGTGGTCGCGTGGATTTTCAATTGGGCTCCACCGGGTTTCCCATACACATTAATAAGCACGCGTTTAGAGAGCGTGTCTGCTGTTACTGCCCATACGGTGATAAGGGGCCGTCCATAAATGACGTCACGCACCTAGGGGGGGGTCAGACATGTGTGACGAGGGGGGGGGGGTTGAGAATTGTGACGTCACATCAAAATGCGCAACTTTAAATTAACATAGACAACACGTTCTACTTAATTAAATAGACTTTTTACTAAATGTTGTCTCCTACAACATCAGAGTGCAGCGCCACATTAAATACGCACTACAACGACAATAGTTTAAAGCGATTTGAAGCATGTTTTATTTTCAAAATATTGAAATATGGTTTTTTGTGGGGGGGGGGGCAGAGCTTTGTGACGTCATATTTGAGGGGGGGTCTGACTTTTTGTGACGCCGTGTGACGAGGGTGGGGGGGGGGGGGTCAAAAATCGTCCAAAATCGCGTGACGTCATTTATGGACGGCCCCATAGCCGCTTTCGTTGACCTGTCATTTGCGAGGTCGCTTTTGAATAGTTCGGTATGGCCTTAGGCTGGTAAAATAAAACAAGTAGCATAGCTGGAGATGTGTTTGCCTTTGAAGGCGGCACACACACAGCGTGAGTATTGGCGGTTGTGTTGGATGTGCTGGTGGTGGATGTGAGATTTATTGGATTCATCTTCTTGGTTCGTTCGGTAAAGTCACGTAGAAGGGAAATAATAAAATAAAAAAAATAAAACATAATAAAATAATTCTCACGACGTTTCGGCCACAACGCAAGCAGCCGTCCTCGACAGACCTGTTCTTCACCTGAGGACGGCTGCTTGCGTTGTGGCCGAAACGTCGTGAGAATTATTTTATTATGTTTTATATTTTTATTATTTTATTACTTCCCTTCTACGTGACTTTACCGAAAGAACCAAGAAGATGAATCCGTGCAGTCACGAAAGCTTTACATCGAAATTTTTGGGTTGTTTTCAGATTCATTTATCTTATATATATTTATATAAAAAATATAAATATATATTGATCAAAATTCTATTCTTGGTTTATTAGGCAAGGTCACGTAGAAGGGAAATAATAAAATAATAAAAATTAAAAATACAATTCTCACTCAGTGATAATTTTCTCACTCAGTGAGAATTTTATTGTTTTATTTTTATCATTTTATTATTTCCCTTCTGCGTGACGTTACCGAAAGAACCATGAATATGAATCCCTGCAGTCACGAAAGCTTTAAATCAATAACATTATATTTATATATATAAATAAATGTAAATACCTGAGTTTGTAATTTGTTACAAA